CAAGGCTGAGACTCGAATGTGCTATTTAGCTAGAGCGTTCGGACTTTAAAGGGATGGGTACAAGGTGTTGTGTTGGAGTATGGCAGATCTGATATCAGTACTTTGGTGGAGTGCTGACAGAACACAGTCTATTCGGCGAAATGGCCCAGAAATCAGGAATCATTACAACGGATACCTGCCATGAAAATAAAAGATGGAGGACGTGGAACATCGATTCGGTTGTTGAATGTTTAATTTGAGGGTTGCTGATGTGCTTTATTGTTGGCCTAGTGCGTTGGTATTGCGTGAATGCTCGACCGCCATACCCTCTCTTACTAAGAACTAAGATGCTTAATAAATAGATTTTTTGGAATTCGTATGCATAATTCATAAAGAAGAACGGACCCTAATAAAATATACCAACACGATTGCCAATTACCCTGCCAATTACATCGTAATGCCGATTGAACAATTTCCTTTAATTTCCATTGAGCTAAAAAGTCGAATACAAAAGGAATGCAATTGAATTGAAATAATAATTTTAAAGAGAAAACAAAATAAAAACAGGACATCATGTGTTCATTCGAAGGTTTATTGTCCTTAAAAATTGTACACTTTTAATACTTGTGTTACGGTCAACTTACCGCATATTAGATTGTATGTTTGTTCTTCGCAATTTGGAATTTATTTTTTTTATCACATTAATTATATTATTCTCTTTTGTTATTGTAATTTTATAAGTTTTTTTGCTCTTTTTTCTTTCATTTTGAATATTTTTTTAGTTTTAAGTTCTACAATTAATATATTTATTTGTATGTCGTGTATATTATGTCTAAATATTTTGGTTATGGGGATCATTGGTGTACCAGACTTATGTGTGTTTGTATGTTATATATAAATATGAACTCTAATTTTGTGTTCCTAAAAGATTTTTACACATTGACTCTCAATGAGTCTTTAGTCCTTTTTTTTTTTATTGTATATATATATATATACATATTTTTATTTTTATATTTTGTTGGGACTTTTTCAATATTATTGTTTAGATAATATGTAGTTTTTAGTTCCTTTTTGCTTATTTTTACAATAAGATAAGGTATGAGGTTTTTGTCCTTCATTATCTTAAAAGACGGACGTGATTTGAATGAACAAAAGAAAAATCTCAAGTAAGAGTAAAAAGAATGGAAATCATATATATATATATATATATAAAGAAAATTAAAGTAAACAAAAAGAAAAAAGAGAAGAAATTAAGAAGTGAATTGAGTGAAACAAAAGGACTTGCCTTTTCCATATAATATAAATAAGAATAGAAAATTTTTTATTCGTCTTATATTTGAAAATTCGTCTACGCACATACACGTACATTTATCATATTCTTAATATAGCAAATATTTACAAAATGTAAATATGTAGGCAAGTATGTAAGATAAATTGAAAACTATTTAGATTTTAAGATTAAAATAATTATGGCGTTGATATACAGGATAGTTAAATATATTTTGTTGTTAGTTTTAGAAGTTATGAAGTCTTTCAAAATATTTAGAGAAAATTTGAATTTAAAAGAGAATCATATAGTTTAGAATTGCAAAAAAGACTTCTAGAACTGCGAATAAATAAAGAGTCTCACACAAGTTGTTTACTTTACTTACTAATGTCACATTTTAAGTAAACAGTTTGCATAATATGTTGAGAATTTCCATTCGAACCACAGATGTCCCCACAGACCATATTCCACAGAACTCTTCTTAAATAGGTATGTGATAAGGTGGTTAAAATAGTCAGCAATATTAAATATTCTTAAAATTCGCTAACATTTAATTCTAAACTGCTTTACTTTGCGTTCTTCAGAAGGAACGCGTTCTTCAGAAAGAAGAAGACTTCAGTCTTCTCGGAAATGAGAACTTATAACTTAATGCACAAGACTTCGTACGTATAAGTTGTTGCAGGCCGACATTTCTTTTATTTTTTCCATATTACAATAATTATGAACTATTTTCGAAAGTTTTTTTTGACTTTCCTGATCGCTTTCATCAACAAATGATAAATTATATAATTTGAGATACTTTACAAGTGGCTATTTTTAAAATATTTCAAAATTTTCCGATAGAGCTCTAAATCCCTAATACGTTTAACGTGTTTTAGGCTTAAACTGTATGTGACAATAAAAGAAAACTATTTGTCATAAAGTTAAAAAAAATACAAAAATCTTGAAATTTAAATGCATGTATGTGCATAAAATGTTCTCATATAGGAAGTTAAGGAATAGTTTTAGAAAAATTGAAATTATTATATTATGTACGTAAATGTTATATATGTTATATTTGCTTGCAGTTAGATGGTGTTTCACAAAACCTAACCAAGAAAAATAACATACCAAAATATTGTGAGGCAAAAAAAGAGCGAATGGAAGGGGGTTTTTTATTTTTCATTTTCATTTGGTTTTGTTTATTTTTTGTTTTTAATAGAACAGTTAAATAGGGCGGGAGGATGTATTATATAACACTCTATATAATAATATACAAACTAACAGGAAGTACATTTATATATATAACAGTTTTATTTTTGGGGTGGTTTGGGTTTGAGTTCTTCCTTTTAATTTTCTTTGTTCATATTTTTTTTTTTGTGTTTTTGGTCTATTTGGTTTTTATTTTTTTTTTGTTTTGATTATATAACATAAAATTAATAATAATATTTATGTAGAAAATTGTATATATGGAGAATGGAGAAAATCAAACCAAAAACAAAAAGACAACAGAGTAAGGGACAAAATATAGAAATTTTATTATAAAAGTTCTAAATGTTTATATATAGATTTTAACTATAATATAAAGGATAGTCTGTCTCTGTATATTACTTAGTAGATCTAGACAATTATATTAGGGAGGGTGAGAGAGTATGATAAGGGAAAGAGTATGGTGGAGCGTATATAATAATATAATAAAATTATTTTATTTCAATTACTTTTAAAAATAATAATCGAGATTTTTCCGAGCAGATAATGAATTTGACAAGACAATTTTTAACTATTTTCAATGGTTTCGTACATAGAATAAATAATGAAGGTCCTTTTCATTTTTAGTTGGTTATTTGAAGAAAAAATAATAATAAAAAAAATATTATAAATTGTTTTTTTTTGTTTTTTTGCTTTTTTTTTTCTTAAAACTTAAATTTTATGATTTTTGTTTTATTGTAAAAAAACTAAGAAATTATCTTGAAAATATATGAAATGTATATACGCACACACTCTTAATATTAATAATAAATAAACACAGGGTGTATAGAAACCAAATGCCTTTATTTATTTTATTGAATTCATATGGAATTTGAAGAACGTTATGCCTACTATTTAGTTATTCTTTGATTGCAAGCTCTCAAACAGCTGATGTCAAATTGATAATATTATGGAGGTGTTCAAATTAAAAGATATAGTTTAGAAATAAGTACGGTAACTAGTTCATTATTTTAAAAAACAAGATATAATGGGTGTTTTCAAATTCTCTATGGTAATCTAAAATTGCTGTAATTTGCTTGTCCTAAGAAAACTTACATAATTGAGTTTAAAATACAAATTTTCAATTCAAAATTAAACTATTCCAAGATTTCGATTGAATACCGAAAAGACTTGTAATATATTATATTGAAGCTTAAAAACCAGGTTATTGATTGAAGCCAAAATATTCCAAAATAATCTTAATTTCTTAGTTAATTTTCCATTATAATGCCTGCAATTTTAAGTTACAGTGTCAGCTCCCATAATTTAATAATGCATCATTTATCGTATATTACCCTGTACCTATATATGTTCAACATATTTTTAACTAAAATACAATTTAAAGTGATTTAATTCAATAATGTTATAATAAATCGAGTTTGACAATAACCAAAAAAAATAAAATTACAATAAAAACGAAAAAACAAAAAGGAAGCCTTCAAAGATAAAGTATAAGTATACGGAGTATAACTAACTAATCATTCAATTTTTCAAATTTAGGTACGATGACTTTCGTAAAATCGTGATAAAAATCTTAAGTAATACAATAATATAATTTTCCCTTTATATAACAAAATTTTTTTTTTTTATATCCTGATTAGGAATTTTTTTTGTTTTGTTTTTGTAAAATGATGGTTACAATCTTAATAAAATTTATGATTTTATTTGTTAGAAATTAAAGGTTATACACAAAAATTACTGCTGTCTGGTTTTTCTTTAAGGCACGTACTATTAAATTTAGTTAATATGCATATGAGTCAATGTTTATGTAGATATGAGTAATATATTGTACACATTAATTATAAAAAATATGTACAAGTAATATTAAAATCTAATATGAAATTTGTGTCAGCAAATTCTTTTGTCTTTTAATTTGTAAAATTTGCCTTTTAAATGAAGCATTATGCAAATAAGATTATAACATTAAAAAATTTACAATAATTTCCAAGGATTATTCAATTATCCTGCCAGAATACTCATTTTACATAGTAACCACTGCTAATCTTTAAAATATTTTAATTTACAGGACATTATAAAAAGAAAATTCAGTTTTTGTTTTCTGGAAATCTTAAATGTTTTCTTAAATTTATACTGAATTCGAATTGAAATTTCCAAAAATAGGCAATACCTATTCAAATATTGTAATTTTAACTATAGTTAGTATGCAAAAATTAGTAACTAGTTCAAATACTTTTAAATTTTTTATTTAAAAAAAAAAATTGTTAAAAATTTATTGATTATAAATTGAATCTTATACAGCTATTCTGATTAAAAATTTATTACAAAATTTTCAAAAATGGAAGTGATTGTTTTAAAAATAAAATTAAAAATATTATGATTGCATGATTCTAGCACTTATTTTAATACATTCCTTGTCATTTCAACTTGAAACCTTATTTTTAATCTGTAAAAATATTGCAATTTAATTTTAATCGTGACAAATTTCTTAAATAATACGAAAATCAAATTATCAATACATCAGATTTGAAAAAAAAAAGAATACTTAAATTTAAATAAGAAAATTAAAATTTCAATAGAATTGTGGGTTTTTTTTTGAATAAAAATTATTCTCACTTAAATATTTTCCTAAAAATAAAATTATTATTTCTAATAAAAAAAAAAAATTAAATTTTGTTTTTGTTTTCTTAAAATTTAACGTGTTGAATGTAAAAGTGCTACAACTGTATCAACAAAATATAATATTGATGTAAATACACACATTACACCCATACCCAAACCAACACCTCTTTCACTTGTCCATTCCGGGTATTCACGTTCCGATACATATGAATTCCAATAATGTAAAGCTGTACCACCAACTGATATCCACATGAAAGCTCCAATAAAATTCATAATTGTATCAGAAACACCACTAAAAATTAAGAGTATATAGATATAAGTATAATTACTTTAAATTATTTAGCAATACTTACCGTTTAAAGTAATCTGTTGGACCAAATAGGAATGCAACTAATACAACTGCTGTATATATGAAAAATCCAACAAATACACCAGATGCAATTATTTCTGAATCAGCTGTTTTTTCTTCATTTAAATTCCATGTACCACCGATACCAAGAAAATAACCACCATCACCAACTCTATACATAATTATGACAGCTAAATTAAATACCTATATGCATAAAATAATGAGAAAGAGAAAATTAATAATTTATTGAAATTTTTTGAATTGTTGTGGTATAAAAATTATTAAAATCACTGTGTGAAACTTAATGGCATAATATTATTGTAATTAAAATATCAAGACCTGACTTTATAATTTATAAGGTCGCTACGATTAATACAAAAAAAAAATTTTTGAAAATCAAATCTAAAAATTGAAAAAAATTTTTATCACTCATAGGTTTTTTAAAAATTTTAATTTCAACTCCATATATCGTCTAACTTCATACTCAATTGAATTGAATTCTATATCAGTAGTTCTCACTGTCTAAATAAATTTAAGGTAGATAAAAAATGGTAATGCGGCCAGGATTTCGAAAATTTAGCCTTAACTTGAAACTTAACATCAATTCCAGCATTTAACAAATTTCAAACTCCATTCTGACTCTGATTACCGAGTACTCCGATGCTGAACGTAATTACATTTTTCATAAAACTTCTAATATGGAATCATAATTATAGTCTCATTTATTATAATTAAATTACATAAAATTAATTTTTTAAATTTCAACTTCAACCCAGACCAAGCACTACTCTCGCTCAGGAATTCAAAAATTTTGAAATTTTAACTCTACTGCTTTAATTCGCGTTACTCATTTTTAGAATTTCAACCAAACGACGAACTAGTAAAACAATCTCTTTTTTTAATATTATACGAATAACCAATGCAGTTGTTTATCTTTTATTATTAATTCTTATAAAAATAGCTTATAAAAATTAATGGAAATTTCTTCATACAACTTCAAAACAGATGAATAACGTAATCAAAGGAACAAGTCAAGGCAAAAAAATAAAAAAAAATTTTCTCCTCGAGCCTGGACTCGAACCTATCGCTTTCAATTCAATTGAGCTACAGGGGTATAAAGAAATTACCGGGAAATTTTTTATCACGTTGCCTCACAGTAATCTACATGATTACCAAGTATTTATTTACATGAGATTCTATATACAATCTTTTATTCGAAACGCACAATAACTTTTTTCAAGTTAAAAGTATTAAACAATTTATTTTATAATTACACACGGGACACAAAAGAAATAATATTGTATTTTCACATTCACTATTAAAAGTGACCATTATAACATTAACATTAACATATTAATAGTGAATAATATTAACATAACATTAACACACAGCTCTTACTTTCTTTTATATAAAATTACATATGATTTAATTTTTTGTATTCATATTCAATTACTTCAGAAATATAGTGTCACATATTATAAATGTTACTGTAAATGTTATGTTATTTAAAAAAAAACACCTTAAATCATAAGCATAAGTTCTCAACAACAAAAATAATAATAATTATGTAGGTATGTAGTAGAAAAGAGTTGTGTTTATCTTATCATACAATTTTTATTTATTTTTCAACCTTAATCGTAATTAAGATATAAATTAGATTATAAATGAATCATAATTATTAAATTTTTTTATATTAAATTATGAATAATATCCAATTATTGGTCTTTATTTAATAAAATTTAATTTTATTAATATTATTATAAAATTTTTCAATTTAATTATTTTTAATAGTAGCTATTCAATTAAAAATTTGCACATTCTTAATTTATTATTTAATTCAAATAATTTTTTAATTCATAATTATTTTTACCCACCAATTTTAAAACTTTTATTAATAAAGATAATAATGTTTCCTTATCCGCCATTTTGATTTTTTTTTTTTATATTATTTTCAAATAATTTTAATTTAAATTAAAATTTATTTAATTTTTAAGTAGAATTTTTTATTTATTTTAAAAATTTTAATATTTTTAATAAATTTTATAATTTAATTTTCCAAAAAATTTTAATATGAAAATTTTTGGATTAAAATTTACTTTAGACGTTTCTGTAAAAAATTTCGCTCGTTTCAAAGTTTAATGCTAAACTAAATAACATTTGCTCATAATTTTTTTTGTTTTCAAAAAGCTTACAATTAATTTTTTTTTTATTAAAATTATCAACAATTTTACAGTATTTTTTTTACATTATATTCAAAAGATAAGATAAAACAAAATATTTTTTGTTGACAAATTGATAAGATAAAAAAAAAAAAAAATTTTTACTCTCTTAATTCGCGTTTTTTTGTAATAACTGTAAAAATTTTAAATTCACTTGTATCGCGTGGTATGGTATGGTGTATGGGTGTTAAAATATGATTCATGCCCAATAACATAACAACATATGAATGAGTGAATTAACCTGTATGTTAACATACACAAAAAAAAATAACGAGTAAACATTTAACAGGTTCTTTTAATTTTTGATAAGAATAAGTTTTTTTTTTCTTTTAAAATAAATATTAAATATGTAGTATATGTTAAATGTTACATTACATGTTATGTTATAATAAAGACAGTATAATTAATTTGAGGGGAAAAAAAGCAAAAAAAAAAAAACAATTAAAATTATTGAAAAGCACCTACTTGGAAATACGAGGGGGGGGGGGGGGGGGGGGGGGGGGGGAAGTAACAAGTGTGTATATTAGAGTAAATTTTTCTATCAGGAGAAATTTATGCAATGTGTATGTGTTCAGCAGGTGTATAGCTTTAAAATATATTAATAAATTTTTATTATTAAAAAATGTGCGAATATTTTTTTTTTAACTTGTATAAGTTCTTGTATGACTAATATACACGCAAAACAACTTGTTGACATGCATTTTTCAAATATTGTAAAGCGATTATGAGATGGGTTTCTTGTACTATACAGAAATTCTTTTGAAATGAGTAATAAAGTGTTGTCAATGAAATTTGGCGATTACATTAAAACTTAGAAAAAAAAAGGTATGTGATGAAATTTTGTTAATAAAGTGGAGTGTTATTTTACTACCAACTTTTTACATTTTTTTGATCAATTAGCAAAAAAAAAATTGCAAAGTTCCTGTGGCACTGAAAAGCTAAATAACTTATATTAACAAAAAAAGGTACTAAAATCAAAAAAACAGGGCTCTGGTTTCAAATTTAGTTGCTTACTGAAATCGAAATAAACGACGTGGTAATTGTTCACAATAATACGTAAATTCCTGGCCATACGGGAATACCTGGGGGAAAATGCCTCCTTCATCGGCCCTGGTTCGAGCGTGGACCATTCTATAAGGTGTCTTGACCAGGTCGTAGCTGCCTAGTTGGAAATGCGCGCTTCGAAGCTGTGGCGCTCCCGTGCGAGGTCGTCGCGATCCAAAGCCTTCTTCACAAAGGCGGAGCCGCTCTTCACTGAGGATTCTATCATGGTTTGTCATTGGGCATGGCCCCTTAACTCATATTTACAAAAAATTAGCATCAAATCTAATCATGTAATATTTTTACTTGCTATTTTCTATATATGGGATTAAATCTTCAAATGTTATATACATCAAGGTTAAATTGCATTAAAAAATCAAATTTGGTGCGCTTATTGTGTAATAAATGTTTGCATATATGTGTATTTTTTCTTGTATTATAATCAAACTTGAAAAGGATTTCATTTTATAACCTCTGCTGTTGATTGTTTTTCTTTTCTTCTTTGCCATTTTCATCATGAAGAATACAAGTTTAACCGTATCCCATCATATATGGAAATCCTTATTTTATTTATTAAGAAACTTAGAGGAAAACTCTAAATATAATTATCCCTACAATATACTATTCAGAGAAAGTGAAAGAGAGAAAGAGAGAGTGGAAACAGAGGAAGAGTAAACGAAACCAGTCCTATTATTGTTGTTCTTTTTTTTTTTCTTCGTTTTTTTTTTTTGTAGGTACTACAATAAATTTTTCCTTTTATATTTGAAATTGTGTACTTAAATCCGATTCGTACATAAATAGCAAAATACGTTTAACAAAAGAATATCAAAAGAAGAAAACAAAGAAAATAAAAAAAATAACAACCTACATTCCAATGGCAATAATAATGAAAAGTATATTAGGATTAAACAAGAAAAGATTTTAAATGAGGACATTTTGTAAATACACAATTTAAAAAAAAATTAATTAAAATAAAATTGCATACTTTTAGGAGTGAACAAGTAATTTAAACAATTTCCATGAAATACTCAATTGCTTCAATAAATTTTGAAATTGTCTTAATGATATTGAAGTATTGTCGCACTATTCCCAAGAAGATTTATTCAATTTCAGTTGTGAAGCTTTAAACACGTTTTGTTCCTGTTCAAGAAAAGAACATTTTATAAAGTTTATGTACAACAAACGAAATGAACAAAAACAAAACTTTTAGACTATTTTTTTCTTCCACTTTTCTCAAATAAAATTCTTCCAGAAAAAAAAAATATAATACTTGAAATAAATTGTAGGGACCAAGTTGAAAAAGGAATGATGAAGTATTTCAAGTAAAGTAGTTGAAGAAAAAGAACAAAAATTATCCGGAACTCCTGAAGAAGGATTTTATATTCCTGTAGAAAAAAAAAAGGTAACATAAACAAAATAAAAAAAATAGAAAATATAATTCAAAAAATTACAAGCCTCGTTTACCTCCTGTTGTGGTACAAGACAAAACAACAAAAAAAAAACAAAAAGAAAAACAAAGAGAACAGGAAAAACATAATAAAAACAATAAGAAAATGGTAAAATACGATATTAAAAAATCCTGAAGAATCAAAATGAAAAAAAAAAACAAAAAATAAAAAAGTGTAGGAGCGTATAACGTGATAATCACGTCAAAAGAAGAAGAAGAATAACAATAATAATAGAATAAAGGGAAAGAAAAAGGACAAAATATTATTTTGTATGTATGTATGTATGTAGGCTAGAGCCAGGATAGGAATAGGAATTTTTCATGACTTTTGTTTTTTCCGCAAGGAATCTTAATAATAAAACAATATTTATATTTACATACACCTATACACACATATAAATAAATACTAGCTATATAATAATGTAGAGATTCAAAATAAAAATATTAACTGGTAACGAAACATTTTATAAAAATAAAATTTATTCGTCCTTTTATTTTTTTGATTTCTTACAAAAAAAAAAACAAAAAAACATTACCGTCGTCCTCTCATAATCATAATCATCGTCATTATAAATAATATAATCATCATCTTAGGTAAATATGCGAAACATAAATGAGCATAAACAAAATATATGAGAGAAGGAAGAAAAACAAAGTAGAAACAAAACAAAAAAATAACAAAAACAAATAAAAATTAAAGAGAGGGTCCATTAAAATTTATTTAGAAAAATAGAGAGAAAAATAACTGAATCACTTTATAAAGTGTGGTTTGCCTTGGTACAGACATTTAGTAAAAAAAAAAAAACAACAGAGAGAAAGACGAGAAGGAAGAAGTATGGTGTAAGAATAAAGATTTCCTTTTTTTGTTTTCTTGTTTTTATTCACCATAGAAAATTATGATAAAGGATGACAAGTTGATGATAACTTATTAATTAGTGTTGAGTGAAAATGAGCTGAAAATTAAACAATAAAATTAGAATTTCTCTCTCTTTCTCTCTCTCTCTCTCTCTCTCTCTTTCGATCTTATTTAGTTTTTTTTATTTATGCGCTTTCTATATATTTTTAGCTCCATTTTTCATTCTTCTCTTATATAATGTACGAGTATATAAACATATAATACTCATTTCAATTTAATTGTTGTTGTGAAGTGGAAAAGAGAGTATGAAAATTAAATTAATTGACATAAATTTGTCATTTTAACCCACAGAAATAGAAGAGAAAAAATAAGAGATTTTTTTTTTTGTTTTCATATTTTATCCAATGATATTTGAAAATTTTTAAATTGATTATTGAATAATAATTGGCTATGTTTGAAGTTGATTTCATACAAATTAAGAAATCAAACAAAAATATTAAAAAAATTTTTGTGTAAATCCGTTGGGAAATGGGAAGAAGCAAAAGGGTTTACAGACCAATAAGATGCGGAATAAAACTTCTGGATTGTATTAATAAAAATTCAGAATTTTACTGAAAAAAAAAATATTACAAAAATTTTTAAATCATTTTCATTTTGTTGTAGTAGATTGGGTTTGTAAAACTAAAACCACAATATTAATATTCTACTTAAAACTCCATTTTACTTAGTTGACTTATGTGCAATTGGTATTAGATATTTAAAAGGGCTCTACTTATTATGCAAGGTATTAATTTTATAAATAATATTTAGAATCTCATTATTTGGATAAATTCAAGTTATTCGCAAATTAAAATAGGGTAAATGGTCGAATCATTGTCAAAAACTTTTACTATAATGAATAAAAGTTTTAAACAATTGAAATTTTTATATTTAGGTTTACTCAATAAAATTTAATAGCCATTTTGCTTTTAATACTAAAAACACTAAATTTCATTTTACCACTTCATAGTTTGAAATCAGAACAGCACATTAAGTTCGTTTAAATGCACCTATAATAAAAAAAAAAGCATTTTAAACCAATGTAACCATTCTCTACAGTCAATTACAGCTCAAGGTTTTTTTTTTCCTAAAAAAATATTAAATATTTTCTTTAAGTGCAGTTTAATGTTACGTATATGAAAAATTCTAATAAAAATTATATTCTATTTTTAATGACTATTTAAATTGTACAGGTATTATTGTGTGGCTAAACTTATTTCATTATACCTATAATATTTTTTATGATAAGTGCACAGCTTACCGAATCATTCTAATTTTGTTTTTACTTTTACATTTTATTGTTAAATAGTTGGCTTGAATAGATTTTCTATACACAAAATAAATAGGTACTTGTTTTGCTACTATTACAATGAAAAAATGTCACATATTTTACTAAAAAAAAATATTTAGTTTAGGATTTTTTCTTAAATTTTCACTTTTAAACCTATACGACATCTATATGCAATTGTTACAATTACTACAATAATAACAATACTTTTAAGGTTATTTTTTTTT